AGTAGCCTATGAGTTCTTCCACATTTTTCTCTACATTTATGCCAAATTTCTAGAAATCCGTTTAGCAGTTGTGGGTAGAAACTCTAAGAATCATCCATCCATCTAAACTTTCGCAATTATAATATTAGTAACATAGTATAATAAGATAACACATTATATTTATTGGCACATGCTCATATGATATTTGAACACAAAAAGTTAGTCAGTAGACTGTGTGATCGCAGTATACCTGCACTCGCAGTACGTTCCCGTCGGAGGTGACTGGCGGCGGCAGCGCGGAGCCGCAGAAGGCGCCGTGTCGACGCAGCACCTCGTCCCCCAGCCGCGAGTGCACGGTCACGCTGTCGTACTCGCATTCCTATGCCAGATAATACACATTTATAGTTACTAGTACTATAGTTTCCGCAACTTCACAGCTAGCTTGTATTTTGCGTGAGGAACAGGACGTGGATTACTCCAGCCAACCTAGCTCTCCGAAGTACCCCAGCAAACCCTTTATGTTGCTGGTGATCTCCGGGAGCGATCTCAGCGAACCGAGATACCTAACCCTGTATTCAGTCACTGCTGGGCAGTGTTGTATCACTGTGTGAGTCTCGTGGCCTTGGCGATGTGGAATCGATTGACACTAACACTTTATGATGAAACTTAGATATATTCTGTATACAGCTACATCAATAAGCTAAGACTAAACTATTTTTTAATAAGATTGGCTTTTGCCCGCGACTCCGTCAGCGTGGAATGAAAAAAAGAAAGTAGTCTGTGTTCTTCCAAACTACCTTCTATATCTATGCCAAATTTCATCGTGATCCATACAGTAGTTTAGGCTACAAACTCTAACAAACATCCATCCATCCATCTAAACTTTCGCATTTATGTTATTAGTAAGCAGTAGCAATGATTCATACATTCTGGCATTATAGTTTACCTGATGATACATATTGTTGGTGCCCTCAAGATCGAAGTGCGTGAAGTTGAGTGTGATGCGGTGCTGCGAGGGTGCCACTATCTCCCACAGACAGTTCTTTGACGGAGGATACAGGTCCGGGAACGATGGGGAAGTTATAGTCCCATTGGGACCATACAGAACTCCGCCACACGCATCTGATAAAATAAATGGAAGCTATAGTTTCTCTCTAGAGACTTGTATCACAAAGCAACATTATTATATCCTAAAAACCAGGCAAAGGTTCAAAGGCGCTTTGAGCCTCAAAATACCAATAGTCCATCTACGCCTAACTTATTACCTTCAAG